TTATGGGCACATATGACATACATATTATGCAGTTTTTAAATATCATTTTGGGTACAGTGAATTCAGCAATTTACAATTTTGTTTTATATTGTTATTAATCAACTTTTATTATTAATTATTAATATGATTAATAAAATGGTGAGTAGGTTTTAGACGAGGAGAATGAGCATGTCACGCTTCCAGTGATGTTTTATATTCATGGTGGAATGTACGTTAGAGGAAGTGCCGATAGTCGCCAGTTACCTCCGGATTACTTAATGGATCAGAATGTGATCCTAGTCACAGTCAATTATCGCCTGAACATTCTAGGTAAATTCCTTCAATTATCCAAGTATTGCTTAAAATGCAGACGATAAATAACAACTTTTCTCCAATTCTCATTGGAATCCATCTGAAGGATTCATGAGCATGGGAACCGAGGCAAATCCAGGAAATTATGGGCTCAAGGATTTGCTGGAAGCTCTGCGTTGGGTGCACGAGAACATTCGCTCGTTCCATGGAGACCCGGACAACGTTACTCTGTGGGGTCACAGTTCCGGGAGTAGTCTCTGTCACCTGTTGGCGATGAGCAACAGAACCGAGGGGCTGATCAACAGGTACATCCTACAGGGCAGCTCCGCTCTGACTACGTCGACGATAAGCACCAACCGAAGGGCGAGGACCGTCGCACTTCGCTCTGCTAGAGAGCTCAACTGCCTTCCACAGAAGACAGAACCAGCAGATACAAAAATGAACAATACTGAACAGAGTAAACCTGGAGAAGCCAGTACAGAACAGAGTGAAGGTAAACAGTCTAGGGATGATAGAAATAAAACTGATGATAAATCTAATGAAATCTCAAAAGGGGAGATTGATGTGAAGAATGAGACCCAAGCAAATGATCAAAATCAGAGTGCAATGGAGGAAGAGGGGGTAACTGTACAACCAGAAGTCGATTATGGAGATAAGTATACTGCTGAGGAAGAGGAGGATATAATGTGGTGCATGAGGCATGTGGACGTCAGAGACCTTGCCTTAATGGGAAAGGATTTTGTAAGTCCATTTTCAACCACACAGATTTTATATCATTTCCTAAGATCGTGTTTCATGTTTACTCAATTCACAATACTTTCAGCATGCGATTCTTTATACATATAATGCATCATATACTTCACATCTTATTCATCATATAATACATCATATACTTGATTGTATATTCCATCACATGCTACGTCATAGAATTATTGTTACCAACCAACCCCTAAATCATGTATCAGTTCTGATGTGAAACTCCGAATGAGTAACCAGCAATCAAAGCTGGTTAGCATCATCAATAACCAGGGAATAACGAAAAGAAGCCATCGATCTCCATCGAAGGTTGCATTAACGCGACCCCATTCGATTCTGCCACAATCAGACTTTGAAAACTGGCATTGAAAAGAGTGGTGTCGAAATTCAAAGAGGATTCATATATCTTCTCGCGTTTGCTAAAGATTTCTAAATACCGGTGCCGGTTTTTATCAAACAGCGTGTGAAAGGTGCGTGCTGCGTTTTTGCGCCGGTTATCGAACGGGAATCGAACGACGCGGTGGTGACGATGCACCCCCTGGATGCGATCAAAGAGCGACGTTTGAGGGACCTGCCATTTATTATCGGGGCCACCGAACACGAGGGAGTCGAGAAAGTCGTCGGTGAATATCAAGAATCAACTGGATTCTAACATTCTTCAACCTCAATTTCCGTATACCAAATCGTTTTCAATCCAACGCTGTTTTTATATCTATTTTGGAATTTGCTTTTTTAGTTGCTATTTTAATATGTACATTTC